GCAGACAGGTAGGCAGAAAGACAGAAAGACAGATGGACAGAGACAGACAGACGGACAGACAGGCAGGCAGAAACACAGATGGACAGACAGACAGACGGGCAGGCAGACAGGCAGACGGGAAGAAAGACAGATAAGTAGACAGGCAGGCGGGTAGAAAGACAGACAAGCAGATAGACAGATGGACAAAGGGACAGGTTGATGGATGGACAGAAAGACAGACAGATGGGCAGGCAGGCAGACAGGCAGGCAGAAAGACAAACACAGATGGACAAAGACAGACAGACGGGCAGACAGGCAGGCAGAAACACAGATAGACAGACAGACAGACGGGCAGGCAGACAGGCAGACGGGAAGAAAGACAGATAAGTAGACAGGCAGGCGGGTAGAAACACAGACGGACAGAGACAGACAGACGGGCAGGCAGACAGGCAGACGGGAAGAAAGACAGATAAGTAGACAGGCAGGCGGGTAGAAAGACAGACAAGCAGATAGACAGATGGACAAAGGGACAGGTTGATGGATGGACAGAAAGACAGACAGATGGGCAGGCAGACAGGCAGGCAGAAAGACAGAAAGACAGATGGACAGAGACAGACAGACGGGCAGGCAGGCAGGCAGAAACACAGATGGACAGAGACAGACAGACGGGCAGACAGGCAGACAGACAAACAGAGGGACAGGCTGATGAATGGACAGACAGACAGGCAGAAAGACAGACAGACAGGTAGAAAGACAGGCAGACAGATGGCCAGATGGATTCACAGACAGGCAGACAGACAGACAAATAGAAAGGCAGTGGAGGAGGCCGCTTTTCCTCCCTAGCAGCTCAGGGAGTCAGCTCAGCAATCATTAGGAGAGGAGACAAGCTGAAGGCCCAGGTGTGCCAGGCTCTGGGAGGGGGCCATGGGAGCAGGCTCTAGCTAGCCTGCTCACTTCCTTCTCAGCCCACCTTCTGTGGTAGGGCCTCATTCCCTTCTTTTTTGGTCTCAGGTTCGGGACAAGAAACTACTGAATGATCTGAACGGGGCTGTGGAAGATGCCAAGACGGCCCGTCTCTTCAACATTACCAGCTCAGCTCTGGCCGCCTTCTGCCTAGTCCTCATCTTCATTTTCCTGCGGTACCCCCTCAATGACTACTGAGTCGGGGGGGGGTGGCCAGGGAGGCCCTTGCTTCCTCCCCCGCCTCATCCCGCTGACCTGAACTGTCAGGGGGAGAAGAGTGTTTGCTTTGGACGTTTTTACGGGGGAATTAATCATTCAAAGTATTTATTTTCAATATAAAAGGGACGTGGTGGGAGGGGAATGGAAAGGGTAGAGACCCAGGAAGGGACAGCTTGGGGAAGTCAGAGTGGGGCGGGAGCCCCACTGAACCCTCCATGTGGCTCCCAGTTCTGCTGGGTCCAGGCTGAACCAGGTCTCAGGGCCACCAGGATGTACTGGGCAACAGGAGGAGGGGATGAGGTGGGCTACAGGGGGCTATGCCTTCGTCCCACCCACTGTACAGGGCCCTCCCCGGCCCGAGACCTCACCCCAACCTTCTCCTTGGGCCGGTGCTTCAGCTACACCCACAACCCCAGCAATCGACAGCCTGGCCTGTCAGCACTTTTGCTCCCCAGCCCTCGCATCTCCCCTCCCACCTCCTAAGGGCGCAGTCCCTAGCACCAGGCCAGAGCTTCCGTGGAGCAAGGCAGGAGGGTAGTTACTACTGGCTGCTCAGGCTGCCTGCCCACCAGGCTCACCCCAGCCCGTCACCCTGCTTAGAGCTACTGAGAATGGGCGTCTTTCCAATGAAGCGCCTCTGCCCAGCTCCCCAAAATGCAAATTTCCAGGGTTGGGGCTAGAGATGAGGGGGTGTGAGAACGCCTAAGGTCTAGTCCTGGCTCACATCCCCTTCCCAACCTTCAGGACACCTCCCATGTCTTTGAAGTCATTCGATGAATCTGATGGATGTGCCTGGGAGGGAAGGGTGCAGGGCTGGTGATGGGCTCCCCATTTGATTGTCGAGGAAACAGGTCCACCAAGACGGAATGTCTTTGCTAGGCTCACCCAGCTAATTAGAGTGCTCTAGTTACTAATAACAAATCAAAGATTTACAGAGCATTTCCTGGGTGGCCAGTCCTTCACCAAGTGCTGTGGGCAGAGCGGTTCCCGCTCTGAGGAGCTACAAATCTGCTTGGGGAGACCAGACTCACATGAGGACAAACCAGGCTGGAAGGTTGTTGTGACCTAACGTTAACTATACTCAAACACTGTGACTTGAAATTCTGTGTGTGTGTGTGTGTGTGTGTGTGTGTGTGTGTGTGTGTGTCCGTGCCTGTTCCTTTGTGTCTGCCTGGCTGGCTCATTCCTTCTCCAACTGGCCACTGCTTGGGCTCTGTCCTGCTGTATTTGTGAGAATACCCTTCTGTGTTTTTTTTTTGTGTGTGTTTTTTTGTTTTTTCTTGCTAGCAGAGCTGGGGTCAGAAGGGCACTGATTTTGTACTAAGAAGACTTGACTCACACTTACTAGCAGTGTGACCTTGGACAAGTCCTTGCCCTCCCCAGGGTCTCAGGTTCTCCCTCTGTCCAGTCAAGGTGGACAGGGCTCTGTGGTCCCTCCCAGTTAAGACAAATCTATGACTGAGTTTGACAGTCCATCGGGGGCATGAGGTAAATAACGAAACAGAGATAATTCACCATCTAAAGAAAAGCAAGCCCCCAGGTCCTGAGACTGCTCAGTTCAGCTCTACTAACCTACCTTCAGGAGCCAAGGCAGGATGGACGAGCAGCCAGCAGACCCTCTCCCTTTGCTGCCTATTTTCCCCCACTCTGTTCCCAGGATTTCATCTACCTGAGCCCCCAGGAAACCCTCATGCCCCTGGCTGGGATGCTGACTGATCCTAGGGAGAGGAGTGTTGGGGGGATGATGAATGCATTGGACGGGGCCTGAAGGTCAAGGGAATAGGAAGGAGCTTGATGCTAGCTGACCCCTGGGAAGACCCCTCTGTCCCACTGAAGCCACTAGTGCTGTCATCAAGAGCAGAGGCCAACCTTCCTGTAGGGACAAACCAAAACAGAGGGGGCAATGGGGCAGCATCCCCCAGGGCTGGGCTGGGGACAGCCAGGTTTGCGGCAGCAGTCCCACAGCTGGAGCCAGGGCAACTCCCGGTTCTGGAAGATTGGAGGTGATCGGGGTAGGTCTGCAGATGGGGTGGGCAGCCCATGTGCAGGGCCAGCCTGAGCTTGACCACGAATGGGGCACTTTGATGGCGAGGTTGGCGAGGGGCTGTGGAACCACCCAGCAGGCAGGCAAACAGACCACACCAATGGCATTCGCAGCCTCCTGACGCAGTTGTCCCAGCTAGGTCCCAGCCTTGCCCTTGGCCTGGGCCATGGCCCCACACCACCTCTTGATCCACTTGCCAGCTCCCACCACTGCCATGCTCCAAAGGGCCCTTTTTTTCCTGGTCATTTCCATAGACCTCTCCTATTCTGAGATATTTACGCAATTTGGAGGAAGGGGAGGGACACAGCTCAGGCTCCTGCTATCCTGGTGTGATCCATCTCTGAACTGGGCGTCAGGGCCTGGCTTTGCATCCTGGCTCTGCCACCGATTAACCATATGACCTTGGGTCAATTCTTTCCCCTCTAGGCCTCAATTTCACCACTTATTGTTCTCTCATTTCCCTATGCCAGGCTCAGACGGTGGGAGTGGGAGCCTGGGTGAAGGAGGAAGAAGCAGAGATAGAAGGAGAAGGAAGGACCAGGTACCCCCATTTGTGGGTTCTGAGCCATCAGGACCATGGATGGCTGTCAGGCAAGGCCTGAGTTAATACAGCAACTCTGGGGCTCTTCCTGGGGCTCTTTTCCCATCTCTGGATTACACTGAGGCCAGCAGCATTCAGGGAAGCTGCCTGAGTGGCCCATGAGGTGGAGGGAGGCCCAGGATTCCTGCCTCCTTCAAGGCCTGGAGCAGCAGTCCCCTGCCCCAGGAAGCCTGCCTTTCCTCTGCTAGTGAAGGCCATCGCTCCCTGCCTGGGCTCTCCCAGCTATCCGAAGGCACAGTGCTGCTTTGCTCTCTCTGCTGACACCCCTCCCCCAATCAGACCTAGCGCTCACTGACAGGACTTGTGAACTATCTGTCTTTGTAATCGAACCTCTTGTCTGGCAAAGGGCCTCGCACACACTCGGTGACTAATAAATGTTTGTCTAACTGAATGGAATGGAGCTTTTCTGTCTCACAGTGGACACAGTGAACTGCACAGGCTTCGAGCGCCTGGGGGCCCTGAGCGCATCTCCAAACAGGGTAGATATACACAGAGCACCCAGATAGGGGCTCCTTCAGGCTGCAAAGTTCTGCCTGCCCTGCTCCCCAGCACCCTGAATCCTACTCCTCTGCCTCACGCCACCAGCTCTGTCCAGGCCCTGCCAGCCCTGTGTAGCCAGGGGCCCCTCACCCCTTCTCAAGACTGGTTTGTATACAGGACCCAGGCCAAGGTGGGAGATGGTTGATGCCCTCCTGGGGAGGTGCTGAGGTTGAAGACTGTTTCCCAGCGCCTCTCTTACCGAGGATGCCCCTTGCCCCACTTCACCCTCTCTGTGACCTGGACCAGCACCCGGGGCCTGGGGAAGAAGATGGTGCTCATTGGAATCCATTATTTGGGGAGGCTCCTGTGGGTCTTTTATGTGATTTTCCTTAGGCCAAATGAGTCAAACTGTACCCTAGAATACTCTCTTTAGCTGCTGCGAGAGAGAGCAGCCCCTAAGACTGGGCCCTGACCCCAGAGAAGAAGGGCATGGGCCCCCTGGCCGGGGAGCAAAGAAAGGTCCCAGGGTATGTCCGAAGCCTGCTTCACATGCTCAGCTTTCCTGAAGGCGGGTTAATGTAAAGCGAGCATGTTTTGTCCTTTCTTACACCCCTCTTTGTAAAGGCCATGTGGATGCTGGAAAGAGCCTGAGGGCTCTGCCCTGCCCCCTCCTCCTGAGGTCCTTCACAGGGGGCAGCTACAAGATGCAACAGAACACAGAAGCAGGAGCCTGCAGTCAGGAAGACATTGTGATCATCACCCTGGAGAAGTCGCCCAGTATCGGTGAAACCCACGAGGAAGGAGCAAAATGGGACAGTTCTGACCCAATATCCAACAGTGTCCCAATGTGCCAGGCCAATACCCCCAGACCCCAGAATGAGCCTGGCTGGAAGCTGCTGACTAAGTGCTCAGGACACAAGACCCAGATCACCCACAGGGATTTATCAAGACAAGGGAAACATTTTCAGGGTCAAGGA